CCTCGCAAAAGAAATGATCAAAATCGATTTTGTAAGATCGGATCCAGATCAAAAGTGAACTTTTTAAAACACTCGTCAGATTAGCCCCCCCTCTTTGGGTGAGCTTCTGATGTTTGCCTAGTTTTTCTGGCATCATACAGGCTGCTTTTAATCAAAAGTATTCTCCATTCACTCTAAATTCATCTAGCACCATCTCTGTCCCTTAGCACATTTAGGCCACAGTTGTAGCAAAGCATTTTCCCTCTGCAGCTCCTACTATTTGGAAAAGGTTCTCTTCTGCCTCATTACCTTTCCAGCTCTACAGACATCTTCAGACTCATCAGTATAATGCAGGCTAATTTGTTTTCCCCTTCTGCAGTGTATTTCTTCCAGAGCATGATCATAACTAGTGATGGGGGGACTGAGGAGGAATAGCTATGAATGAGGCCTGTGATAAAATTGGAAGAAATTGTGCCATCTCAAATAGAACTCCATTTTGGAGATGCTAGCTTTCCAATGGGAACGGACATTTTTATTTCAACTGTAGGCCCCCTTGATGCTCTCAAGTTCTGCTAACAATGAAAAAGCTTCACAGTGACAAGAACTGCTTTTTAATGCAGCTGAATATCTAGAAACAAGTAAGTGAATCAGCCAAACTTCTAGGGGCTGAACCTACAAACCACAGATCAGAGTTACAATAACAGAACTGAATGGGGAATGTTATAGGTTCCCCTAATCTCCCTAATGGGAATCCATTGTAGTCCCAGCCAGGGGGCTTTGATCCCCTTTGCACCTTACAATTTGATCTCTGAAAGTCTGTGGTTCAGTCCCTCATGTGTTGGTCAAGTTGGTAGCCCTCACAATAGCATTTCAGCCCAAATCACAAGTCTTTCAGTGTTCCCCAGTTCTCAGGTATACAGAGAACAAGGAGTGTGTATGCAGAGGATCCAGAGCTGAGTTTTGGGGGGAAAAAAACAAAAACCACTCAATGGATTCTCCCTGCCACAGCAGAAGCATCATTGTTATATTGCAATGATCTGAAGGAATCAGCACAAACTTCTCATTCGTGTCTGTCACCAGAAGATAATCCACCACAGACACCAAAGCCCAGGCAGATCCAGTTCCATCCTCTGAAGGAGCAAAGAAATCTGAGGGTTACCCATAAGGCAGCATTGGCATCCCTACAGCTTTCTCTGCTCCCACAAAGGAAAGATTAAATCCTTACATCAGGAACTAACTTTG